ACACACACACACACACACACACACACACACACACATAAATAAAATAAAATTTAAAAAAAAAAAAGTTATTTGTCTTGGTTGGGGAGATAGCTTGGTGGTCTAAGTGCCTGCCTGGCAAGCACAAGGACCTGGGTTCGATCCCCAGCACCACATGCCGTGCACCAAATAAATAAAGATTTTTTAAAAAAAGACATGTTCCATAAGAGTTATTTGTCTTGGGTCTGGTGGTGCACACCAATAATCCAAGCATTTTAACAGTCTGGTCAGGATTGTAAACCCAATTTAGGCAATCAGCTAGACCCTGTCTCAAAACACAGAAGGTTGGGAATACAGCTCAGTACAAAGGCTTTGGGTTCAATCCTTAGTACTATGGATGGATGGATGGATGGATGGATGGATGGATGGATGGATGGATGGATGGATGGGATTGAGACTGGCATGGTGGCACACACTTGTGTTCCCAGCACTTAGGGAGGTAGAGGCAAGTAGATGAAGAGTTCAAGGCCAGCCTATGCTGTTTAGCAATGCTCTGTCTCAAAAAGGGAGAGTGGTGCATGAGATTGGTGAAAGCTCAACTAAGATGAGAAGCTAAGTATTTATAGGGGAACAATTGTGTGCATTAGATTTTTTTTTTTTTTTTTTTTTTTTTTTTTTTTTTGGTTTGTTTGTTTGTTTTCTTACAACTTACAGCTTCTGTAGCAGAGAATTGGAGAATGTTACAGGCATATGATCTGTTTATTGATCTGCATCTTTTAGAGACCCCATCCTTCAGCTGAAGCAAAATCTCCAACACCAAAGTTTGACTTATTAGCTTCAAATTTTCCTCCTCTACCTGGGAGTTCATCAAGAATGCCAGGAGAGCTCGTTTTGGAGAATAGAATGTCTGATGTCATTAAAGGTGTCTGCAAAGAAAAGGTAAGCACCAAAGCATGCAAGATGGTTCTTTGACCAGATGGTTCTGTTTCTTACTTAATTTTATCTTACCTATTTACTTTCTTTTTTTTTTTTTTTTTAGAAGGAAGGAAAGGTTTATTTAGCTCACTATCACTGGAGGTTTCAGTCCACACTCAGCTGGCTCCAAGGCAGAGTGGCACATGGCAGAGAGCAGCCTTTCATGGTGGCAGCAAAGTGCAAGAGCCTTTACTTTCATTTTTAGACATTATTTATTGACTTTAGGGTTTATAATTGAGATCCCCCACTCCCTACCTGGTAATACTGGGGATTTAACACAAGGATGTTCAACTGCTGAACTACATACCCAGCCTTTTTTAATTTTAAAGTATTGTTTTGCTAAGTTGACCAGGCAGGCCTGAAAATTAAGGTCTTTGTGCTCAGCTTCTTGATCACCATGGCCAGCACACAGCTGCATTAAACAAGCACACATAAAATTGCCGCTCAGTATTTTATGCTTTATCATACCTGAGATGTCATATATTATAAGGTCCTCCCCCCTCCTTTTTTTCATAAGGGGGATCGAACTTGGAACCTTGTACTTGCCAGGCATGTGCTTATTCCACTGAGCTATATCCCTGGCCCAAGGTGCCCATTATGTTAGTATTACTAAGCAAAAAGGCATTGTAAGTTAGACTGGAACATGTCATTCTTTGTAAGACACTTAGTAATACATAGTTTTTCATAGCTGATAGAGTATTCTGTGGCTTCCTTCCTTTTTTTTTTTTCTCTTTGAGATACAGTCTTATGTAATTCAAGCTACCCTTGAACTCATGGAAGTCCTCCTACCTCAGCCTTCCAGCTGCTGAGATTATAGGCATGTACCACCATGTCCAGCCTTTTCTTGTGTATTGTGAATTTTTCTTAGTCTCCTTAATTGGATCTCCTTTTCTTCTCATTTTACTTTTACTCTGGAGTATTATAGTTCCTGTGTCTTACAGAGTTTCTTGAATAAGTGGTTATGAGGTCTGAGTTTCTTGATCTTGAATTTTGAAAATTTTAATCAGTAGTTTATCTCCAGGTAGACTTCTCTTTCAGAAATAATTTTCCCTCGGGGCTGGTGAGATGGCTCAGTGGTCTAAAGCACCTACTTAGAACAAGCTTAGCAAAGCACAGGGACCGCGGTTCAATCCCCCAGCACCACATG